ATATATATATATATATATATATACACACACACACACACACATATACATGTTTGTCTATTAAAATATATTAACTATGGGGCGAGGGATGTATAGGTCAGTGTAGATTAACTCTAGGTTCAAGCCTTCATGTGCACACACACACACACACACACACACACAAAAATCTGTGTATAATAAGATTAGAAACACTAAGAAAGTATACATTTCATTATAGTTCTAGTATGAAAAAATGATCTTAAATGGTCTACATCTTATTTTATATTCTGTTACTCTAATATTTATATCAAAGTCAGTGCCTTTTCCTACAATTCTGAACCACAGGCCAGCTAGGTATTCCCTGCCCTCGTAGGTGGTCTGGGAAGATTGCTGTATGAATCATCCATCTCCTGATGCATATCAACAAGTATTGGAAAACTGACAGGAGATGAGAATTGTTATTTATCTGTTTTTCTCCTTAGACTATCCCAAATAAGGGAAGTTGGAGCCTTACAGATTCCACATTTAATTATAAAATACTGGTTATCTTTTTCAAAGTTTTGATCATTTGGATATACCTTATGAGAATCAAGAAACAAAGCGATCCAGATACTTCACCTGTTGTGCAGTTCATGGCCTGCTTGTAGAAAGGGGGTAGGGAAGCACTTGGCATATATAACCTAGATATTAAATGAAAGAGTAGTAAATCAAATAGTATGAAGTGCCAAGCATATAAATAATGTGAAATAATATTATCTAGATTGGCTATGAGCTTTGATAAAATTAAGCAAGTAACAGACTCTCCATTTAAGGATGTGAGGCAAAGATAAAAGGTTTCGGTATTGCAAAGATCATCTTGATATTGGGTATATTGAATGGTTTTGACAGGTGAGGTATGTCATGGAACCAGAGGGCCTTGTACCATTATAGGTCATCACCCTAAGGGAAATTGGTGTTCTCCCTAATTTCCTTTCATAATCTAGGAAATTTAACTTCTTGGAATGACTGCTAATTTTTATTTTATGAATGCCATTGATTGGAATTGTTGTATTCTGAAATTTTAATTCCAGGTGTTTGGGGGGAAAGGAAATGACCATTTGGATGTGAAAAAGGACATGAAGAGACTAAAGACTTGGGATTTTGCTCATCAGAATGAAACCAATCTTGAAGGACTTTTCAAATCTGTTATTGGTCATGCTCTGTGACTATGGTGAGTCTTGTGCCTATAATTGAGTGCTATGAGTACCAAGAAAGAAACATAAATTTGAGATTTGTCCATGCACTTAGGAATGATCCTGCACAGAGGAAGCAAAAGTGTTAACAGTACAGTGCCTTTCAAACTCTTACCTGGTAACCCTGGGTTCTCTGAAGGTGATCTGGGAGTTCTGCATGATTCCAACTGTACCTTAAATACACTTTTAGCTCTTAAAAAATACTTTACTACAATTTTAACAAATTGGGCACAAGCATATTTCCTGGGGTTCATGTGGATTTATTTCTGAGTAATTCAGTGTTATATCACTTAACACACACACACACACACACACACACACACACACACACAGAGTTTTTTTTTTTAACTTGGGGCTTCTATGTAAGATTCCTCTTGACAAAAGAGTTTTGTTGTTGTAGCATCTTTGGAATCAATCTGAATTTAAATCCTTGCCAGTGTGTTCTCTGAGGCATATTTCTTAGTCTCTTAGCAATAACACTGACTCCTTAGGGGTGTTATGATAAAATACCATCAAGAATGTGGAACATTTTAAGTGTTTTCATGTATGGTAGATGCCTAAAGTTAGTTCTTTTCATTCAGTTTGTTTCAACTAAAAATTGAGCTCACTTTTCAAGTTTTATATAGCTTCTGAGCCAATATAATCACCAACATGGCATAATCTTCACTACCTTTGATGATTTCTAAATATTTCATAGACATCAAAGCAACTGAGGTGATCTGAGTGGAAACTGACTTAAAATTCGTTACTGAAAATGTAATCCCAGAGGCAGATACACTGGCTTGTGTAATGTTAGTGGCAAAGACAGTTACAAAAACTAGAGCATGCACAGTTATATCCAGTAACTTTTCTTAGACGTCAGTATGGGTTTCACTTATTTTACAGTCAATTATTCCTTCTTAAAAACAGTTTATACTGCCAGGCATCAGTGGCTCAGAAGCCTGATATCTGAGGATGGTGGTTCAAAGCCAGTCCAGGCAGGAAAGTCCGTGAGACTCTTATCTCCAATTCACCAGCAGAAAACTGGAAGCGGAGCTGTGGCTCAAAGTGGTAGAGCAAAGCTCAAGGACAATACCTAGGCCCTAAGTTCAAACTCCATGACTGACAAATACACAAACACATACACACACAAAACCCCACAGAAAACAAAAAAAGAAAAAAAAGCAGATTACACTGCATATAATAGCCTCTTGCAAAAAATTATGTGTTTTGTTTACATGATAATAAATAAAACAGAAAAATTCTAATGTAAGCAAAGCATGTACAGATATTTGTTGTTATCCAGAGCAAAATTTCTAGCTGTATATGGTGATATAATTCCAGTGCTATTAATAGGCTAAGGTAGAATAATCACATGTTCAAGGTCAGCCTGTGAGCTCCTATCTCCAAAATAAAAGTAAAAATAGACAATCTTCCCTTACCAAAAAAAGAAAACAAACAAAAAACTAATGGAAATGAAGATATTTTCATGAATCTGTTGTTTCTTTTTTTATTTTTATTTGATATGAATCAAAATCAAAAAGTATTATTACCAGTTTTGTTTTTAACCTACATGCTTTATATAGAGATATTAGTTTAAATTTCATTAGAATTAGGAATGGAAAAAATGAAAGAAGAGAGATAATTATATTGTTATGTGTCTGCTTGCATAATTAAGATATGGCAGAACCAAATTCTAGTTTTCAAAGTTAGAATGTCTTTTTGCCTGTAGGTACATTCCCATTCTTGTGAATTCATTACCAACTTTTCCCTTCCCTTTACCCCTCCTATCTGCCACTGCTAGAAGCCAAACATTGTATATTTGGTTTCTTTTTCTAGTGAATCATGTTGGAACCAAATATCTCCATCAGATCAGAGTCTGATCAGCCTCTTGGACAATTCCTATCATTCAATAGCCTCTCCTGTTAAATAAGAGACCATTTTCTTCTTCATCTTCAAATGAATTCCAGAACTATCCTGCCCACTTCAGATTCAAATTAATATGACCTTGCTATCAGTCTTACCTCTTTCCTTGGCTCTGGTGATACAATTGGAGTCTCTTTGACCACCAGTGCATCAAAGGTACCAGGGCTGCTCTGTAATATTAGCATGTGAGCTGCACTGGACTCAACAACTTTCTTCAATCTCCAAATACAAGGGAATATTACTCAACTGCTGTTGTCGCTAAATTAGAGAAAAACAAGTTGATCTTATTTTTTTTTTTTTTTGGTCGGTTGTGGGGCTTGAACTCTGGGCCTGGGCGCTGTCCCTCAGCTCTTCAGCTCAAGGGGAGCGCTCTACCGCTTGAGCTACAGCACCACTTCCAGTTTTCTGGTGGTTTATTGGAGATAGGAGTCTCACGGTTTCTCCTGCCCGGGCTGGCTTTGAACCACGATCCTCAGATCTCAGCCTCCTGAGTAACAAGGATTACAGGCGTGAGCCACCAACGCCCGGCTACAAGTTGATCTTATTTTGATAAAGGTAATAATTTTGATCAAGCATTCAAGTCTATATAATTCAATACAAATTTGTATATTTCACTTCATCTCAAGCAGAAGGTAGATACAGTGATGAACTAATTTTAAAAATAAACTCTGTACTAGTATATTTATACTCTAATTTTCATACATTGATGAAATACTTATAAGAGTATTTTTAAGATAAGACTATAACTCTATGCAAAAATCACATGAGATCACTGGGACATGTAATATATGGTATGTATTATATTACATGTAGATGAGGTATATATATATAGGTATATATAATGGTAAATTCATAATTATACAAGTTGTTTTTCTAACCAAAAGGGCACTGAAGTTCCTTAAATCTTTTTTTTTTAAAACCCAGCTATGGCCCCGTTGATTGTTGGATTGCCAAATTCTGCCTCCTTTGATACGTGTTTGGATCATGTTCAAAATGGAAACAAGGATTCTTGTGTCTATGTTCTTTGTACTGTTCACTTCAGCTGCTCTGCTGGGTCTCTTTTTAAAAGAATATAATTGATCCTAACTGAATGATACTTGTGAGGCTAGTAGTCATCTGTCCTTATTGGGCCATTACCACTTGCTATAATGTCATTAATGTTGCCTAGGACAAGCCTGGTTATTTCATAAATATTTGTTCTATTCCTTGGGTGACCCATGGAGAATAAAGTGGCTACATTTCTTATTCACTTAAGGGTTTCTTCATATAAACACTGGTAAAAACTCATAAGTCTTTTTTTTTTTTTTTGGTCGGTCGTGGGTCTTGAACTCTGGATCTGGGGACTGTCTCTTAGCTCTTCAGCTTAAGGCTAGAGCTCCACCACTTGAGCCACAGTACCACTTCTGGCTTTTTCTGTTTATGTGGTGCTGAGGAATTGAACCCAGGGCCTCATGCATGTGAGGCAAGCACTCTACCACTGAACCACCTTCTCAGCCTTCACAAGTCTTGAATATAAAAACTTCGAAGTCAATTTAAGGTTCTATATTTTAAATATTCAGTTTGTTTTGTATCACTTAAATCAAGCAATTATAATTTCAATGTCTACCCATCATCTCTAAATACATAAACAGTAGAAACATGAACAAAACGAGAAATACAGAGTACTGGAATCTTTCTCTAATAATAGTTGAAAATTCTCAATCTGAGAATTATTTTAGCTTCATAGATTTTCTTTGAATTTGCATGTTCAGTGTTATGAATTCAGGGCACTTATCACTAATTTGTCATTTTATTATTTTGTGCTAGCAGTGGGGCTTGAATTTAAGACCTTATACTCTTGCTCGGCTTTTTTTCCCCCTCAAAGTTGGGACTGTACCCCTTGAGCTATACCTCCACTTCTGGCTTTTTGCTGGTTAAATGTAGATGAGTCTGAGAGATTTTTCTATTTGGGCTAGCTTTGAACTATGATCCTCTTTATCTCAGCTTCTTAAGTAGCTAGGATTTACAGACATGAGCCATCAGTGCCCAGCTTAATTTGGTATTTTAAACATCCTGAAAGTTGCTGAGAAAACAGGGCCACTTAGAAAGGAATGAGCTCAAGTCCCTGCTCCCAGGAGCTGTGTGTCATTTCACATTTTTACGTCATCCTTGGCTCGGTTCCAACTTTGGTCTAAACTTCTGTTTTCATTAATATCACTAATAGTGCTGCTCAAATGCACCCTTTGTAAACCAGCTTTGGCCATTTTCTTTCAGTCTTTGGAGAAGCTGAATATATCCTCTTGAGAGAACCTGGCCATGTAGCGCTAAGTAACAACACAGTATCCGTGGATTTCCAGTATTTTGATGGTGCTAATAGCACACTGAGGAATGTGTCTGTCCTGCTGTTGGAGGCCAACACCAACCAGACTCTAACAACCAAGTACCTCCTAACCAACCAGTCTCAGGGAACACTCGAATTTGAATGCTTCTACTTTAAGGAAGCTGGTGACTACTGGTTCATGATGACTCCAGAATCATCAGCCAACAGCACTCCAGTGCCCTGGTGGGAGAAAAGTGCCTTTCTAAAGGCAGAATGGCCTGTCTTTCATATAGAGGTGAATAGGACATCCAAATCAGCAGAAGGCACCTTCCAAGTGGGTCTATTTACCAATCAACCTCTGTGCTCATTTCCTGTGGACAAGCCTGATATATTAGTGGATGTCATCTTTACCAACAGTCTTCCTCAGGCAAGAACCAATCCTGGACAGCCGTTGGAGATCAGAACCAGCAAGAGGACAGAGCTTACTCAAGGACAGTGGATAGAGTTTGGCTGTGCACCTGTGGGACCAGAAGCCTATGTTACAGTGATGTTGAGGCTGTTCGGCCGAGACTCAGTCATTGCCTCCATAGGACCCATTGACTTGGCCCAGAAATTTGGATACAAACTTGTAATGGTGCCAGAACTCACATGTGGGTCCCAGGTAGAGGTGATGGTAGTGCCCCCACCATGCATCTTCGCCCAAGGAGTGGTTACCGTTTTCAAAGAAGCCCCCCAGCGCCCTGGGGAGAGGACAATTCAGCTGGCAGAAAACAGCCTGCCCCTGGGAGAGAGGAGAACAGTGTTCAACTGCACTTTGTTTGACATGGGGAAGAATAAATACTGCTTTCATTTTGGTGTTTCAAGGAGAAGCCGTTTTTCTGCCAAAGAGAAGGAGTGCATGCTAATTCAGAGAAACATAGGTTGGTATTGAGATTTTTTTTTCAACATTCAAAAATCAGATCGGCATCTTTATTTTTGTTGTTATTTGATTGGTTTTCTAAATGATTATTTAGAATTTTGATGCATTGGACTATCATTTTAATGGCTCATTCTTCATAGCTACCAATTGGCATTATCATTCTTACCTGAAAAATTAAGAGTACGTTCTTTCAGCATCCACGGGGATTGGTCCTGGTGTACATTTGCATAAAAACTACAATACACTTTTGTATAGTTTTAATTATCTTTGTGTATTACACTTCATGTAATACACATGCTATGTAAGTAGCTGTTCTTACTACATTGTTTGGAGAATCATGACAAGATGCAGCTTTTGTGTGTGTGAATATTTTCCATCTGTGGTTAGTTGAATCTGCAGATGTGGACTCTGGGAATGCAGAACCTGTGGGAGGGCAACTGTCTCAGTAAGCGAATCATTTAATCTCTTTAGGTCTCAGTTTCTCCCTTTGTCAGGTAGGGATAATAAAGTACCTACCATGGAGACTGAATAAAATAAATATAACCTTCTTTGTACATGGCTTATAGGAAATGCTCAATTATTAGACTACAGGATTTTTTAAAAAGCATATTATTCTATCAGGTATAAGAAAGCCAATGACAGAAAAGATTGGAATTCAAAAGTGAATTCTAGATTATATTTAGTAAACTGTCAGGTTTGGTTTTTTTGTTTGTTTTTTTTTGCTAGCTGAACATGTCCTTTCTCTTAGATCATTCTCTTAGATCATTCTCTTAGATCATTCATTTTAAGAATGAAGCATTTTTACTGAGAAATCCAAGCAAGATCTCTAAGATGCCTTCAAACTGTATTCTGTGTAGATGTGTGGCTCAAGTGCCATCCATCTGATCCCTCCCCAACACTTCTCTATTATTTTATAATTAAACATTTTTATTGTTTTTATGAAGGTGATATACAGAGAGTCAGGTAATGAGTATATTTCTTTCACTCCCAGTTTTATATTTTAATTTTTCATTTCATTTGTTCATTTCAGCCATGGGGATCAAACCCAGGTCCTCATGCCTCAAGCTACCACTGACCTATAACCCAAGCCTACCCACCACTATTTCTACTCTTTGTATTTTTCCCTTTTCCTGGGTGTAAGTCTAGTCTTAGCAAGTGGTATGGTTTTCTAAACTACTCTTCTTATTTTCATCCCACAGAGTCCATGGCCTTCTGACTCCCCACGCTTCTAACTGTAACCCCAGAGCTACCTACTTCCTCGCCATAGAAGTCCCTTTCCTTTAACTTTCCCCTTTCTCTTCCTTCAACTTGCCTACTTGCATTTACTTTGCTTCTTGCCTATAGTTTGTGGCTCATCCTTGTATCCACCCTGCTACTATCTTAAATTCCTCTGTCCTTTCCATGCCCCTACACAGGCCACACCCATCTGCTGGCTTCCTGTCAAGCTGCTGAGGTTGCATGACAAGGTCACAGTTGGGTAGGCTGGTACCTATTGTGAGTGGTTCATGCCTCTGCCCTCAGCTGGTCCTCTATACTGGTCAGCAGTCACCTGCATATTTTGTGCCTAGTTCTGTACACCATCTCATTTATACTTCACCACTCTGCTCAGAGTTCAACCTTATGGTTAACTCTAGGAGTTGATCTTGTGGCCTGCCACACAGGGGAGCTGACTACCCAAATGGGAACTTATTACCTTTTCACCAAAGATCTATAAGTATTGGACCCATCCTATCCCCCTTCTTTCATGTCACCATGGAAGAAGTGCCACTCCTTCCGTATCAGGTCAACCTTCCCTTCCACTGTGAAGCTCAGCCCCTCTGGTCATTTTAGGGAACTTTCATTAATCATTATTCTCCTCCCAACTCCTATCCTTAACTGACTCTTACTATAAAGGCTTACTCTCATTGGCTTTGAAGTGCAATTTTGTTTTTTATAAATTATAATTTTCTTACCTTAAAGCACCAAAACCTCCCAAACTAAACCTGATATTCACTGCAGACATCACTCTCACTCTACTTTATAACTTCCTCCTCCTCCTTCTCCTCCTTTTTTCTCCTCCTCCTTCTCCTCCTCTTCTTCCTCTTCCTCTCCCTCCTCTTCCCCCTCCTCCTCCCACTCCTTCTCCTCTACTTCTTCCTCCTCTTCTTTCTCCTCCTTTTTGTGTGTGTGCCAGCTTGAAATGAGGACTTGGTCCTTTCTTCCTTCCTTCCCTTCCTTCCTTCCTTCCCTTCCTTCCATCCTTCCTTCCTTCTTTCTTTCTTTCTTTCTTTCTTTCTTTCTTTCTTTCTTTCTTTCTTTCTTTCTTTCTTTTTCTTTCTTTCTCACTTATGGCTGGCAGTCTATTACTCAGGCCACACCTCTGGCCTTTTCCTGGAGATAAGACTTGATCTTTACATGTTAGCCTCCAGAGTAGCTAGAATTGCAGGTGTGAGCCACCAACACCCAGCTTGTCCCCCCCACTCCCCCTTTTTTTTTAAAGCTGTTGACAATTTCATTCACTTCTCCTACTGCTAATTGGCATCTGACTTCAACTCCTTGGCTGCTACTTCTTCATTTTCTTGGCCTGTAAGTTCTCATCTCTTGAGGGTTGGTCATCTTTTCAGTTTTCACATACTTGCTATGAATGCTAACTTGATGCTGAGTAGTTGACATCCCTCAGATGCCTCTCAGCTAGCTCCAGAGCAACATATCTGGAATTAGATTCATCATCACCTGCTAAACCTGCCTCTTCATGAAAGATTCCACCATCTTTGTGTTCAAACCAGAAACCTAAGTCTTCCTCTTTCCCACCACCCCCTATAAAAAATAAATAGTAAGTCACAAAGTCCTGTAACTTCTGTTTTTTAGGTGTCTAGCTCTGTCCACTTTTTCCCAGTTCCATGTGATGACACTTGATTTAATTTTCCATTACACTTTACCTGGACTCTTGCAATAGATTCTTAATTAGTTCTTTTTTTTTTTTTTTTGTCAGTTGTGGGGGCTGAACTCTGGACCTGGGCACTGTTCTCAACTTTTCAGCTCAAGGCAAGCGCTCTACCACTTGAGCCACAGAGCCTCTTCTGGCTTTTTTCTGCTTTTGTGTGCTAAGGAATTGAACCCAGGGCCTCATGCATGTGAGGCAAGCACTCTACCACTGAACCAACTTCTCAGCCCCCTAATTAGTTCTTGACTATCTACTTTATTCTCTCAATACACGCAGAAGGTTGTTTAAATACAGGTCTGCTGAGGCTATTCCTCTATTCCAGGCCTTTCAGTTGCCTCACTTGGCATGGATAGGAATGTAAAAGACTTTCCATGGTCACTGGGCTGCCTGTTCTGCCAGAACCCAGTCCTCATCTCTCAGCTGGGGCTTGGACTCTTGTCTTCTCCTAGTTAACATTAACATACCTATAAGTCTGCACTTGGGTGACTTTTTCTTTACTCCAAGATTCCACCATAAGCTCTTTTGGTTTCTCTTTCATGGCATCTGTCACTTCTGTCATTATTTATTTAAAGTCCTTTTCTCCCTACACAGACCCCCCATTCTTTGCATTTCTGAAAGTAGGGAAACTCATTTGATGGTAAAATCCTACTTTCACCTTCATCAAATTATTTATTGTCTTTATTTAACCCACTTAGGATACTTGGCACACTAATATTTATTTATTTGTTTGTTTATTTTTGTTCTAGTCTTGGGACTTAAACTCAGGGCCTGGGCACATTCTCTAAGCTTTTTCCTTTTTCCCTCAGGGAGATTACTATTACTTGAGCCATAGCTCCACTTTCCACTTTTTGGTATCCAGGCTGGCTTTGAACTCATGATCCTCAGATCTCAGCTTCCTAGATAGCTAGGATTACAAGGATGAGCCACTGGTGCCCAACAATTACTTACTCATTGCTTTTGAGATAGTGTCTCACTCTATATCCCAGCCTGGTCTTGAATTCACTATCCTCCAGGCTCAGCTTCTTGGGTTCTGGGTGTACAGGTGTGTGCCACCACTCCCAGGTTTAATATATGTTTTCAAAGCATAAATTAAATTCAGGTCCGGCTTATCTCAGCTAGGCTTTAGAGAAAGTTAAACTGAACTGAGTCAGACTTCCAAGATGATCTTGCCTTTTCAAAAGAAAAGGTACATATGTGTTCAAGGAAAACAATTCTGACTGAAACTAACAGAAATGAACTAAGTGAAATCGAAGAGCTTGGGCTATTTGATTAATGACATGTGGGACAGGAAAACTTTCTTGTTTTGACAGGCTGCTGGGCATTCCATGATGCTTTCATTCAGTGTCTAATGCTGGATTTCCCCACAGAATCAGCCAGGGAAGACATTGGAAAGAATGGGGTAGAGAGTGGTTCTCTGTGTGCCCAGGCGGAAGATGGTCATGGGCTACCTGGGGACTGCCCCATGCAGTATCTACTACACATAACTTTTACAGCTGAGTAGACTAACAAGAAGAACTAAACACAGATTCTCTGTGTGGCAGATTGACTGTGATTCTAACTAAGAAGTAAAATTTATATTTGCAGTAAGAACTTCAGTGTCTTTCTGTGTTTTTAATACTAATCGAATATTAGAACCTCCCACTAATACTCCACAGTCTGTAAGTTTTTACCACCAATATGAGGCTTCAAGTAGAAAACTTTATACCTGACCTGTGTGACCAGGTTGCAGTCAAAACATAAGCATTAAGTGGGTGTGGTGTGCACACTACTAATCCCAGCTACTGGGGAGATGGAAGCAAGAGGATTGGGGTTCAAGGCTAGCCTAGGCAAATGTGTGTGTGTGTGTGTGTGTGTGTGTGTGTGCTGGATTGGAAGCATGGATTAAGTGATAGAGTGCTTACAAAAACAAAATAAAATCCAGGCACACTAAAAATATTGTATAAAATTATAGGCTATTTATAGGGTGGATAAATGAATTGCAGGTTTAGGCTCAAGTTCCTTCCTCACATTTTCTCATGGTGTATATGCAAACATTCTAAAGCCTGAAATACTTACTGTTCTAAATACAAAAATACTTT